ACAACGAGATTTTACTGAATATACTTCTATTTTGAGAAAGATCTCTTTTAGTGTGATCCGTGCATATGTGCACTATATATCGATTAGATGCTATGACCACGCAAAATTTTGTTTTTTGGATAAAGAATCTAAAGAATTTTTTCAGTTTATGGTGCAAAAGAACGTTAAAGTGATTTTTACAATATGTTTTCAATAAAGAAACGTATTTTTCAATAGACTATTATTTATTATTAGTTGTTTTTCAAGAACCTTTTAAACTAGGAACTAGTGGCGTAACCAGAAATCGTCGGGTGGGTGGGCGACGCCCTACCGGTTTTCGAAAGGTTATCTAAGATGCAGAAGTACGTTTCTTTTTCGTATAACAAAGATGTAATAGTTCATTTACCTTAAGCCCCCTCAAAATTCGATCTCAGCTCCCGAACATCGAGATAGCATGAAACTTTGAGGATATGTTGGGGGTATAAAAGTACGTCTATGGTAAAATTTTCAACCTCCTATCCTGATCTCTGACGTAGATACGAATCAAACAAGGGTCGAAAAATAGCTTATCGCATCTCCAAAAGTTCTCAGTGGGTGTTCCATCAATATGGTTAATTGTTTTTTCATATGAGAGAGCATGTCAGGATGCAGTGTCTATGAGGACCCTTTTTTAAAATTCTTATCTTTATAAAGAAAAAAAGTCTTCACAAGTTCAATCACTAAAAAACTTCTCAAAAAAAATGGCGCTTGTATAATGAAACCACTTATCAATATACAAATAGCAAAGCTTTATCAGAAAAGGGCTCTCATAGGTATTACAGTTTTTGATGCTCTTTCGAGCAAAAAATATATTTGACTTTATGTCGCATTATAGTTGACTTTTGGTAGAGATGTATCGTTCGACTACAACTTTGAGAAAAAAAATTGGATTTTTTCAAAAACCGTTGGTTTTTCGAACAGGGAGCGTCAAAAATCTTGAAAATTTTTCAGAAAAAGGAGGTACCGAAGAAAATTTATTATCGTTTATGAAAGACCAAATGACAGTCTATCTCCCTATGTACTTATCTCAATTTCAACGATTCTGACGAAAAATGAATTTTTTGAGGGGGAGGAGCTTAAAAAACACGTTTTAAACATTATTATTCATTTAGCAGATGAAGAAAAATATCTAAATATTACAAGACTTTATTTTAACAACATTCTACTATTTTTATGCAACTAATGATGCAGAGGACGGTAGTGAAGTTTCAAATGATAAGGGTGGTGGTGAAGATATTGATAATAGTGATAAAGATGACAGTTGTGAAGATGATGATAATGATTTTGAAGTTTTATCTGCCGAGCAACAAGCTGTTTCGTCTGGTTGAAATGTTTGTGTGTATTGATCAATAGCAGATGTAGAAGTGTCGACTTTCTTTTTTTTGGAAGACGAACGAAAAAACGATTGAATCGAACCACATTTGGGTTCTTTGTTATCTCATGATATTTATCAAGAATTTGATTTATTTCTACTAGGATCGGGAAATTGTTTGTGAAGCTCACTTGTAAGATCATAAGGAAACAAATCATTAATGAAATGAAATCTACCAATTATTATTGTCACAATAGACGTCTCTCTATTCCAAATGACAATTGATGTTTAAGAATGTAATGTGTTCAATCGACCGATCAATCAAGTATTGTTATAAAAAATTTGCTTTTCTAAAAATTATCGGTGAGTGGGCTAAGCCCACTCATGCCCTACCTTGGTTACGCCACTACTAGGAACTAACATATCGCTATGACAACAGAAGCAAAATATTGTCCGTACTGAACTTAGATATTATTATGGATATAAATATTAAAAAGGTCAATAATTTGTAGAAATTATTAAAAAAAGATCAACATAATATTGTTATCTATATGTTGAGAGTAGGGTGTGGGTGTGGGTGTGGGTGTGGGCGTGGGTGTGGGTGCTGATCTCTCCACTCTCCACACCTACACCCACCCACACCCACACCCAATACAGCCTTTGTTTTATTAATATTTATCGGGAGTAGCTTATCATCAGAAAATTTATCTAAACGATCTAACGTCCACCTCGCTCTCACTTCCAATTCAACAATATTTTTCGAAAATTTTTTATCAAGATCGCCTGTTATTTGTATGGCGAGGTCGTCGGCGAACATGTGTAATGTTAACGAAAAAAAGAATGAAGGAAGAAAATGTACGTGAAGCCTGAATAGGGTGGCCACCAGAACTGATCCCTGTGGCGCACCCACGAACATAGGAATTGTACGAGAACGGACTTCACTAAAATGGATAGACAAGGTACGGCTCTTAAGCCAATTGAAAACCCATTTGAGAAGAGGAAGTGGGAACCCTAACGTTTTCAAATTCGTAATCAACGACGGGTGCCACATTCTATCGAATGCGCTTAGAAAGTCTACAAAAAGAATCAAAGCAGGACGGTTACAGGCCGCAACTGTTAACCTTAAATCTTCAATTAATGACATAATGCGTGTCTGAAGCCTTCTTCCTGCTATAAAACCACTCTGTTCATCTGTATAAATATTATTAGCATTACACCACGATATTATTCTACGATGAATTATCCTTTCTAACCACTTTCCTAGATTCGGAAGTAAAGATATAGGACGCAATTTCTTGAGGGTCGGAAATAGATCTTCCTTTGATAGACATATTACTTTAGCATGTTTTGCTGTTCGAAAAAATTCACCTCTTTCTGCACATCGATTAAATAATACTGTAATAACAGTAAGATATTGCAAAGGTAATTTTTTTAGTAAGAAGGCAGATGTATTTGTGCTATCGGTGGACTTCTTGGGTTTAATTTTTTTCCATTCTTTTACTACCTCCTCATACTTAACTTGTTCGAGTGGTAGATCGCGAATCGATGCTATTTCCTCATAAACGCTTAGTGCACGAGTGTGTTCTGGATTAAATGTATCATAAGGAAGTGCTGCAAAATGTTTTTCGTAATGATTAACGAGTAATTCGACAACTTTTTCTGGTTCTACTATTCTAATACTGTCATCAGTTGTTAGACCCCTGAAGGGAGGCGAAAAACTATGAAAGATGGGTTTTACATATTTCCAAATATTTTGATTTTTCTCCATCCAACTTAGTTTTTCGTCTCTCCCCGTTTGTAGGAATTTACTTTTTTCTTGAATAAATACTTTCTTCATATATAAAAATTTTTCTAAATGGTCCGACGATTCATTACGACGATATCGCCGTCTGCATTTATTTACCTCTCTCACTAACGATACAATGAACGGCGGCCATGGACGTCTAAATTTATCACTTCTCTCATACACACTGCATCGATCCCACAATGCCGATAAAAAGAAGGAAAAAAGTTGAATAAAAGAGTCAATATCAAAATTATACACTAATGAGTTCCCGTATTCGAATACTATTGTTAAAAAGAAAGAGAATACATTCCAGTTTGTTCTTCGAAAAAAGGAACATACATCGATACCATAAGGTGATTGAAAAAGTATAGGTCGATGATCAGCAGTACCTTCTTCTAATACCTCAACATTCCATCCACTGGCATCATGTGAGATACCAAAATCAATTATAGCTTCGGATCTACGTGAAGTTGCTCTGTTTGGAGAGATTACCTCAATGCCTGTTTGTTCGAGCCAATTAAATAATTGGTTACCGCTCTGGTTGTTCTTTGAGCAGTTCCAGTGTGAGTGTTTTGCATTATAATCACCAAAAAAGACGAATGATTTATTTTTATATTTGTCGAAGAGATGGGAAGGGTGGCAGGGGGAACATATAATGCTCCTATTTTTATTTGTTCACCTGCAACGTTTATTTCAATTACTAAAAAGTTCACTTCACGTTCAATCACTTGACATCTTAGTATTCCACTATAAAAGATCGCAACACCCCCGAAAGAGTTGGTACCCACTTGAGCAACCCCTTTATAACCGGGAAATGTTGGAAGATTTGTAGCTGCTGTACCAATTCCTGTTAGAATACATAAGTGGGGTCGATAAGTACTCAAAAGAATATCCATATCAGTTAAATGTGTATTTAATCCCTGAACATTGTAAACCAAGAACAGTAAATTATTATCTGACTGTACAGGACGCTCCTTTATCCAATTTTTACACATATTCGATATAGATATACGTGTACTCCATTCTAACAGAATGTCTTTAAGTAGTTTTCTTTTATACGAATTTCCAAAAAATGTATCGAGTATAGCTAAGGGTAAAACCGACGATGAATAATGAAAAATCTTACTGTTCATTTGTTGACATAATTTCGATGCCATGACGAAAGATATCTGTTGCTTTTTCATTCAAAGTTGTTGTTGCACGATGATGATCTATAATAAGGTCATTACGATCATTCAACATAACAAGATTTTGTTCGATAATAAGTTGGAAGTTCTTATATTCATTCTGTACATCGATGTTACTTGTATGTTTCACCACCTTCTCCATAAACATATGCAATGTTTTTAATGAATTTATAATAATCGGAACCACCTCATTTACCACCGTATAAACTTTTAAAATACAATCATTTTGTTGATTGTTTTGTAAAGCTAACAAATTTAACATTGCATTTAATTTTGTTTTGTAATTTTGTTGCTTGTGTATCAAATCTTTTTCACGTCGTTCCAAATCTAATTTTAATTTATCATAATCCTTACGTAACATATTTATTTCCTGTAATACATTTTCATATATATCCTCTCTTCGTTCTTCATTAGTTGTTGTAGGTAATGTTCGTGTAAGTAATGGCCATCCATTAAAATGAGAAGTATGTGTTTGAGGTGGTAAAGTATCAGAACCTTCTTTTTGACCACTAATAAAATTTTTACCACCATTACGAAATCCAACTGGGATAAACAACTGTACATCTTGAGGTAATAATTCTGGTTTTCTTCTTAACACATCAATTAAATCACCCCTATACTTCATAATAACTGGACATCGATAATCGGTGGCTAAATGTTCACCACCGCAGTGATGGCATTTTATTACACATTGTTGGTGTTCACCTTGTGATTTATTTGAGCCACACCTACGGCATCTATCACTAGATTCTTTACATTCTTTCTTAGTGTGGCCTGGACAATTACATCTAGAGCAGATAAGAATTTGAGGAGGAGACAAAAATTCAGTAACTTCGATTAAATGACCATTTAATGGAAATACTCCATTGTTTAGAATTTTTCTTACTTCATCTTTGGAGGATAAGTCAAGTCGAATATGTCTCGACTTGTTTGACTTCGAACCTTTCTTTTCTTCCAACAGAAACTTCGATTGACAAATATCAGATAGTGCTTCCAGTACCTCATCAAAAGAAATCATGTTTGGTACATACTTGAAAATAATCGAATGTTGAGGAGGAAGATGGACCGGAGGAACAGGAGTAATTGTTGTATTTAATAATTTTGAGGGATAATTTGATACATCCCATACATATACAAATAATTCAATCCGACGTGTAGAACATATTAATGCACCTTGTTTATCAATATACCAAGTATCAAATCCAATGGGATAATTATATGATTTATTTAATTTACGAAAATCATTTTGTATATGTTCACATAAAGCTTTAATTAAAATTGTACCTTCTAAATGATTCTTCATTTCAGGTTGACATATAATTTTAAAAGGAGGAAGTTGATGATTAACTGCATATTGTAAAGCATGTTGAGTAACATTATATTTTAACGTATGATGAATATCAGTTTCATGTACTTGTAGTTGTGTATTATCATTATTTATCTTTTGTATTACATTTTGATTCCTTTCATCACTTCTTCGTTGTTCATTTATTTTCCTTCCATTCTGTGATAACGAATTAAATACAACCATACTACGGCCAATTGTATTTCTTTTTTCATTTTGTTTATGTCCTTGATGACCTAAAGAGGTCGCTTGAACTGTAATATCGTCTATTGCCTCTTGAGCATCTTTATTAATTATTGGACGAGTTCTTTTACGATTTCTTTTTCCTACCATTTGAAAGCTATCATTTTCAATTTCACATATCTCATTATCATTATCTTCATAACGTCGACGTTTAGGAGTTAATATAACATTTTCTGGTGAAAAATGAGATTGCAATTTCTTTCGATGTTCTTTATTTAATTTTTCAAGTTCATTTCCATCTACTAATTTGTCTTTTTCAGAGGAAGACATATTATCATAATAAGAATATGACATATTAGAATAAGAAGTAATTTATAATTAAATAAGTGATTAAGATTAATAATAATAATATGCACACACGTTGCGTGTACAAACTTTGTACACTCGAACACGAGAGAAAGGAAAAAAAACCAACCGCTCGCTACGTGTGATGGGAGGAGAATGAAATGGCTCTCTAATTGCGTTCTAATGTTGATCAAATGAAATCATGTATTTACATGCGCAAATAATAGAGAATTTTGCTGATGTTTTACTACGTTTTTGCATTTTTTGTCAAAACAGCTGGATACTTCGATGAAAATGTAATGAAACGTAAGAAAGTGTATTATGTTTTGAACTATAGATTTGAAGTCCCTCTATCTAAATCAAAGATCATAATCGAAACTTCATGTGTATTGTATGTCATTTTCATGCATTCTTTTCTATATTTTTCAAAGATGATCAGTTTTAAAAGAAGTTCGTCTGACACATTATCAGAGAAAAAGACGTCCTAACTCCTCCTCTTTTGATCGGTGAAAACCGCAGGTCTCTAGCTGTTTGCTTTCTCGAGTTATTCAAAAAACAGTCACACGCACAGATTTTTTGGACGGATATTAGTTTCTGTATTCGATATTTTGCTTGAAAATCGATGCTATCTAATAGGAGAGAAAAATTGAAGTACATCGCACAAATCATGCAGAAGAAGTTGCATGAGTATGCTAGATAAACACAACTCAATTCAGCGATTGAATATGTTACAATAGCTCGAACACTGAATAGTGTCTTCGTTTTTAATTAATTCTGTGATGCTCAAAAAGTAATATTTGAACACTTCTAGAGTTCATGAAAACCACAGTTTCATGGTCATCTTTGAAGTTTGATGTATTTTTCACACTGACTAATCATAGGTAGACAGCTACGATCTTTTGGTTGTGCGTCATCAATAATGACGCTTGTTTTTTTTTCCAACATGATTGTTGTTGATTCTGAATCATAATTCTTTTTTTGATTTTTATGACAAGAAAAAACAATGTGAATTTTCAATCTCACGAATTGGAATATATCAACAACAAACGATATAAAAAAGCTGAAACAGTAGTTGTCCAGCTTAGACTCGAATTCAATCTTTACACTCATCAATCATCACATGCATCAGCTATTGTTTAGTGGTAAGTATTTATTATGTGCGTTCTCTCCAAAGAATAAAATCAGAAATCCAATACTTCTTCAATAAATTTCATGTATTACTTTCTTGATCGATTATGGAAGAGTTTTCGTGAAAATCAGTCGAACTGTTTTGCCTATTATTCTATTTTATTGTTTTTCGTGAGAATTATTCGTTCCTGTTTCTAGACAAGTCACCACACAAGTCGTCAAAGGTAGTAATAACTGTAATTATTTCAATTTAATATGCGTACTAATCAACAAAAAATCACGAGAAAAACGAAAGTTGACCTTCGCATCTCTTTTTTTGAGTAGAGAGTCATCCTGTCGATAAAGTTCTACACAGTCGATCAAGTATTCATTTCACTTTTATGTATTCTTTTTAGTGCTCTTTGTTTTCATCAACACTATATATTGTCGCAGTTGGCCCATATATACCGATTCAACAGAAATATATTCAAAGGTTTCGTATTCAGATGATTCAGCTGCTACAAGTAATAATTTTATGATAACTTCAACGACGAATATGGAGACCAATACAGTTTCAACAATCAATGATATCAATCTCGGTTCAACATCGGAAAATCTAAAAAGTCAACTTTCAACAAATGATTATGTATCATCGACATGGACAACAACAGTTCGAGACAGGCCGCCTTCAACAGGTAAAACATTTGTCTACGATACTTCGAATTTGGAAGTAACAATGAAAACTCAAAACAGTTCACTTTCCATATCCACAGCTGTATCTCAAATTACTACAGCAATCACAAATACTATAACCACAGCAAAAGATGTGTCAAACTCAACTGTTACAATGTCACCTACTACAACAGAAACAAGAACACAGCAAATGTCAATCTTAACACTGACGAAAATACGTAATATAACAGGAACATCAAGACAGAGAACAACTTCTACTGTTACAATGACGGCTAGAACTGTGACTCTAAATATTACTGACTCACAAACTAAAAAACCTTCGAGTGACGATTCTACTACGATTTCCATTGTATCTTCTATACTTGGAATCGTTGCCAGTGTGTTTACAATCATCGCTATCATTCTGGCTTACAAAGGAAAACTGGCCTGTTGCAAGGAGAAAAAGCAGACTCCAGTCCCTTCGAGTTCCTCGGAGTCCTTAGGAGTCCCTTGGAGTCCCTTGGAGTTCTTCAAAGTTCCATGAAATCTTCATCATATATCCAGAAGCCCATTATAGAATTTAGAACATCAGATGAAATAGATATTGTCTCGATTTAGAGACGAACGTATATCATCTTTCTCTTATATGTATTCAGCACATTCGTTTATTCTAAAATTTCAAATTAAACAAAATCAAACAAAATATTACACGAAGAAAAAACATTTACTTATTTTTTTCGTTAGTATGTTGTATTCGAAGTAACCTGTCGCTTGAAAGTTTACTTTTTTCGGTAGTTAATAACCAACAAGCTGTTTGTTTATGTATATATTTTGTATCATCATTCATTGTGATTTTAAAATAAGATTGTTCTATGTGAGGTTCGATCTTATTAAACACTTTCATTCCAACAAAGTCGTTTTTTATCGTGTTTATTAAATTTTGAGTATCATCTTGTTCGTCTTCATCACTGTAATCATCATTCGAGGAAAAATTATCATCATTGTCATCATCCATGTTGAGATCATCTGTTGTTTCATCTTCATCATCATCAGCTATTTCAAATTCTCCATCATCTATATTGCTTAGTTGAGATGAGTAGTCATACATCTTTGAAGTTGAATTTAACTGTTTAAACACATATTCACTTAATAATTCTAAGCTAAGAACACGTTTATTTTTCAGCAAATTCAATATTTCTAAACCATCAAGCATGTCAATAACTTCATGGTAGGCTTCGGTAATAATTCGTTCAATATCTATTTGAGGGTGTGGGTGTGGGTGTGGGTGTGGGTGTGGGTGTGGGTGTGGG